ATCAATTTATTTATTTACTCTCTGTAAGGACCATGTATTAGCCCATGTATACTTTTGAGAACTTAAGGTATATGAGTACATTGAGGTTGTGCACCACTATGCTGTCACAACAGCTCGTATAAATGTCCCGAAGGACCAGTCCATAGATTCCGAAGAACCTAGGTAATCAGTCCATATGTCCCGAAGAACATAGGTAAACAGTCCATATGTCCCGAAGAACATAGGTAAACAGTCCATATGTCCCGAAGAACATAGGTAACCCTCGACCCTTGGCATGCCAACTATACCCCTAGCTCTCATATCACATAACATGGGCATTATCATTTATGACCGTTCACATTACTTATTCATATTATTTCTCTTATAAACACATATCTTTTCTTTTCAGTCACGTATTACATGTACGTGTAATCCTTGATCTCATAATCACATGTTCATTCTCTTCTATCACATACCAAATATATGTGTAAGCACATATCTAATATCATATGTTGCATTTTCATGTAAGCATGTAAATCATGTAACATATAAACATACATACATTTCTATGTACTAATGCACACAAAGTAATCACATAACATTATATAAGTTACTTCTTACCATAGTAACTCTATCATTGACTCATCGCAAGCCAATGTTTGATCAATCACATAAGTACAATTTAAATTGCACTCACCTTAGCCTTGCTTTGATTCGATTATAATCATTTGATTATTCCGGAACTTGTTTAGGCTCAATATCTACATAAATATATCATTTCAAAACAACTATCAGAAGCCTAAACTTTAAACTTGATGATAATAACTTAAACCGGTTTAATGAATCAAATTCTATATTTTCATTTAGGGGGGAATCGATACCCCCCCAAGGGGAATCGATACCCCCTGAACATACTGGAATTTTTCGTTCAAGAGGGGGAATCGATTCCCATTCATAGGGTATCGGTTCCCTCTACCCAGAAATTGTATTCTAAACTCGAAAATCATCAATTTTCAACTCAAACCTTCATATTTTACTTCCTTTAATACTCCTAACTTTAATACACATACTTAAACTTATTTCTATTCCATAATCACTTCTTTAACTTCAAATCTAGTCATTCCTATGTAATTGCAAAAAATTATACTAGTTTTGCAACATGTTCAAATTCCTATTCTAACACTTCCTATCCCTTAATTAACTTGATGACAAGTCAAATTCAACTTTCAATTCTCAATATAAACTTTATTTCGATATTTCATTCAAAAACTCCAAATCTTTAAATCCTCATAAACTCTTCATTTTGTTGTTTTAAAGCAAATTAATCCTTCCTTAATCTTACTTAGCATCTAATAATCAAAACTAAACTTAAATTTCAGCACATAATCAGCTCAAGAGAAAACTCACCTTTGCTTGGCTTCACACGTGGATAAGAGAAAATGAAGAAGAAAAGAGAGAAGAGATTTTTTCTGGAAAATCTCCTATCCTTATCCATATATATATATATATCATTTAATTATAATTTTCAAGTCTAATGACCATTTTGCCCTTTAATTCTTTGGATAATTACTATAAACTTTTAGGAAATATTTCTGAACAAATCATTAAACTATTAAACTATTATACTTTAATCACCATATTCTGAAATTTTACAATTTTGGTCACTAACCCGTATTTTGGGATGTTACACACCTTTACCATGAAGCTAGCGGGAAGAAGAAGGCAAAAGGAAATGGTTCCAGATAATTCTCCCAAATCCTACGTGTTTATCCTTTAATAAAGGAGAGAAAATATCCTTAAACTTAAAAGACCATAATAATCTTTATTCTTTCCATCCTTGCTATTTAATCCACTACCAAAAATATTCCTATCTAAGTCCCTGTACTTTTTAATCTTTCAAAATCAGACCTTAAAGTTTCAAAACTTGCATTTTAGTCACTAACCCTGATTTTGGAATATTTACACCCTCTCATAAGCCCCCTTAAGGCTATAAAATGTTTTTTTAAGTTTTATGGGGTTATTTAGCACCACAATGAGACATTTTAACATAACAAAAACACCAATCAAGCAAGCTACCATTAACACCCACTTTGCACTCAATGAACACAACAAGTAAACAAACATAGATTCATGGCTTACATATGGTAGAGGGGAGTTACTTATGTGTTACCTTAGCTCTAGTTGATGGAAAAAAGCTCCAAGAGTCACCTAATCACCAATTTTTCCTTGCTCTTAGCTTTTGAGCACTTACTACATTCTTTCACTAACCAAAGCAAACAAAGGATTAAAAATATCACTTTAAGCCTCTAAATGTTTAGAAACACATTTATAGACACTTAAGAACAACTCAGAATCATTTCGAAGCCCTAGAACTAAATCCTCTCAAAAAACTTAAAATTTGTTACCATAAACAAAACTTAAGATTTTGGGCTAAATTAAAGCTCTGAGGGTGTAGATTTCCTTTCCTACCTTTAGAAATGTTGAAAAGCCTTGCTTCACCAAAAAGCTCTCACCTTTAACAAATTTGAGGATGAAGAAGAGACAAGCGAAGAAAGGAAGAAGATGACAAAGGTGCAGAAAAAGAGAAGAGATTTGTTTCAGACTTTTACCCGTTTACATCATCCCTCCTTAATGGTTATTCAACTTTATTTTCAAACAAGGGGTTAATTACACCCTTGGTCCCTTTTCTTTGATGCCCAAAATAAAGATGCCATGTTTAACACTTAATGGGCTTCCCACAAGCCCAATTCCTTCATCCCTGGTAAAAAAATTTAAATTGAGCTTATTTAGCATTCCAAACCCAACATCTAATACCCGAAATTACTAATCAGGTTTTCGAGGTGTTACAATTATAGAGCTCGTATATAATTTTTAAAAATAAATTATTTATTTAGTCACTCGCTTATTATTTTATTTTTGTTTTGGTTATTCTATTATTTTTTTAAAAAAAATTTACTTAACGTTACTTTTTAATTTTTTTTGTTACCCATCATTAAAAACTCGACAACAATTTTTATTTGATATTTTTAAATTATTTTTTACTTTCCATTTAATTATAATTTTATTAATTTTTAAGGTGGATAAAGTTAAAATCAAACCTACCCTCTTAAAGTAGGGTCATGCTTATTTTGTGTGAGCAATTGGGTGTTTAATAATTTTTTTTTTATGTTTTCTATTTAAAATTTGATGTATTTATTAGATAATTTATTAATCGTAATAAAAAAATAATTTACAAACAAAATTTTTATTTTTTCTTACTCTTACTATTTAATTTTTTTCAATACTTATTATTGGAAGTTTAATTTTCATATTCACCTCGGTCCATTATTTTTTTTAAAGAAAAAAAGGGCCTCATTAAAAAACTCTTCTACCAACACAAGGTTAGGGTCCTAAGGGGAAAAAGTACCCACAAAATATTCATTAATACGACAACAAATCGTTCTTTTCATTAGATGCGAGAAACTCAAGGTAATCTCGCCCAAAGAAAAAGGATGTATTTGAAGCAAGTGCTGTCGTAGCTAACTTATGAGCAACTCGATTCACATCTCTTTGTACATAAGAGACAATACAACTTATAAATTGATTACATTTCGCACCTCAAACCATTAAAATCTCAGAAACGAGCCTGATCATCGTCCAGATCCCCTAAATAGTTTAATTTAATTTCCTTCATGTTAAAAGTTTCATGTTTGTGACAGATTTGATATAGTATTGAACTCACTCTCTGAATATTCACTTCCCAACGACCAAGTAATTATAGGTTGATCTGTCATCTTTCCGGCAAGCATTCTAATTAACTCTAAAAAAGTTTCTCTTCCTTGAGAGGCTTTTCTAAGACCAACCCTTATGATCTATCGCGAACTATCCCACCAAATGCTACGGAATACATTTTTCATGCTCTTAAACCTAGGTAAGCTGTAAGCATCCACTGTTGAATCTGCAAGGAATTTTCTGCTTGCTTATCTTTGCACTTTCTATTGTTACCTTATTGTATGTATGCATGTGCCTCCTGCTTTTGCTATTATTTAACTGCGTTCCGCTAAAGGTTACCGGTAATAATTTGGTTTCCCCCTTTTTTGGGCAGCATTATAAGCTTTGGACAAATTTGATATCTTTTAGAATGTATCTTTGGAGAATTACTGCATTTTGGGCAAATCGAATATCATATAATACAACTTATTAGCATGGCTGCAGGCATGAAATTCATGTTGATGAAGTAAGGTGCCTACATTAAAAACTTTGGGCAGTAAAGCAAATTTGCATCTTTGTTTTCGGTCTCTCATGGAAAGTGAGGGATGATCCCGGTTTTATCGTCGCAACCTTTCAAACGAACGATCGTACGGTAAGCGCACCTATTGCTCTATCGCTAGGGAATCTCATATATTAATAGCCCATACTTCTGCTCTGGTTCTGTTTGCATTCTTTATTATTGTATCAAATACACTGGAATCTAAAGGTTTAAGTTGATGTTTCTGTGTTGTGCATTATTCACACCAGTGCCACATTTTTACTGAGAAAATGGAACTAACATGTGATCTGACTGCATAATCTTATCATATTTCAGGAGATGCTTTAAACAAAATCTCTGTTAAGAAGGAAAAATAAAAATTTGATACTAATTCGAGTCGAGTTCCCATTAGTTTCATAATTTTGTTATCTGCATAGTTGATTGTTATATCTGTCAAGGTGCAAAATAAGTGTGGAATGAAACGTTCAACTTATTTTGACAAAAAAAAATCAGACATATAAAATTAAAAGTATAGTTTAGACCTTATTTTAGAATTAATATCAATGAAAGCATCCTAGGACATTATTTGCTTGGAATATCACACCTTTCTACAACTTGGAAGTTCAAATTGAGCTTAAACTTCAATATTGGCTTTTTCTGAGGGCCAATCAAAAAATGTTTTACATGCATATTATTGGCATTTGGCCATATATTCCATTCAACCGACAACTGGAAAGTAGATAAGATAACGAGCAAAGTTTCGTAGGATACTCGTATTTTATTCACTTGATTAATTATTATTATTGGAACTTATGGTCAACAATTTGGGATTTATCAATAATATCCGCATGTATCAGACAATTACAGTAATTGGGTGCTCATCATCCCCTACAACCAAGAAATGCCTCCCTTCTTCCATTACCATCAAACCATATCCATTAGCCCTACTTAAATGCTCACAGGGTCTTACCTCAAACTCAATGCCACCCATTTCCCCTGCACTTAGAATCACACTCTTGAATCCTATCAATTTCTTCTTTGGACTTCCATCTCCACGGTTTCCTTGCCTCGCAAACAACAGTACTGGATGTTTACCGGCCATCTCCCCGTGATTTTCGACTCGAATTCTAATGGTAAACTTCTTTTGATCGCAGACTTCATCGCCTAGATCCGACACGAGATTGTATCTTATGGAATTCGAGGTCCTGGTTGTACGTAAACTCGAAGAATGATTCAAGTAGAGATTCTTTCGGGACACGTGTGTGAATGCATAAGAATACTTTGAGTAACTTAGGCCATAACCGAATTCAAAGACCGTCTCCCCTTCATAGAATCTATAAGTTCGACCCGGATAATCTGATTCGGGCCTCATCCTCATGTCTGTCATTGGTACTTTGGTATAATCTTGTGGATACCAAGTTACAGGTAATCTCCCTCCTACATAGAAGCATGCAGTAATAGGCAATATAATTTGTTCTGTTTAGATTGAATTAAGTATTTTCTTTTCTAAGCAATGTCAATGGCTTGTTACCAGGATTGTGATCACCAAAGATTATCTCTGCAAGTGCAGTGCCTCCTCCTTGTCCTGGATAACCTGCCCACAAAATGCTTCCGATTCTCGGATCATCCTTTGCGAAAGATACGTCGATTGGACCTCCAGAAAGAAGCACCAAAACAACTGGTCTCTTTGCTGATTTTGCAACAGTGGTGATGAGTTCCTGTTGCCTCCCGGGAAGCAACAAATCGACGCGATCAAGCCCCTCCCTTTCTTGAGTTTTGTCTAATCCCATTATCAATACTACGAAATCTGCCTGTTTTGCTATGTCTACTGCTTTGTCAATCGCACCAGCCGAACAAGAAACAGTATCACAACCGGGGTGGTACACGGTGTTCTTAACATAGCCCTGTAAGGCTTGCAAAGGAGTAAAAGACGTGCATGGTGGACCTGCATAGTTTCCGAGAAGTGTTTGCGCGGAATTGGCATTAGGGCCTATTACCGCTAGCGACATGGCTGCTTTCGGAAGTGGAAGGAGTTTTGCATCATTCTTTAAAAGGACGATGCCGTTACGAGCAGCTTCCAGTGCTAGAATCTGGTGCTCAGGGGAGCAAATTTGATCAGTCCCGATGTTACCGAAAGGATTGTTCACTGGATTTCCATTGAAAAGGCCTAATCTAATTCTGATAGAAAAGAGATTATGAAGAGCTCGGTCTACCAAGGATTCAGGCAATTTTTTCTGTAGAATAGCTGATTTCGTGTATTTCTGCAGGAAGGATCCGCAGTTGACATCCATGCCTGTAAATTATCAAAATTTCATCAATTTCTTTCAAAGATGAATTATCAATGTTTCAACAAATTCTTTCAAACCCTATGCCTACATGTTTTCCATGGAAGTATTTCCAGCTAGACCTATTGATGCAGGAAATTTCAAACAACAAGTGCAACATATATTAGTCGAACTTGGGTGTAAATTTTTTCATGTATGTGGAGGATCTTTGAATGATCATATACTCTACCCATATCTGAACATACATAACTGGTCGATATGATTTTCTTCGATAAAAGCGAAGACTTTCGAGAAACAGAGAATGAATGTAGAAAGTACAGACACATGTTGCATAGGACAACATTAGAAAGGGTGAGGTCCAGCATACCAGCTCTAAGAACATCGACAACAGCATCTTCGGGTGCTTTGGTGTATCGTTGATTGTTATACATTACATCGACAGCATCACAGTCCGATGAGATGTACCTGTGAATAGATGCCATCACAAACTAATCATAATTTTCTGTTCTCCAGCATAATAAATTGACAAATGACAGGAAACGAATATTACCCTTTGAAATCCCATTCACCTCTAGCTGTCTTTGATAAGAGGTCTTCATCTGCACAGTTTGGGACCCCATTCACTCTATTGTACGCACACATTATGCCGCTTGCTCGCCCATCCTTCACGCACCTCTTGAACGGTGGTTGGTATGTGTCGGCTAAGTCTTGCACAGTGACCTACACAATTTAAAATTATCCAAACTAGATATTACCCCACAAGCAAAAGGTACAAGTGCTGTTCTGCTTGAGAGAATATGTGAAAATTTGAGCTTCTTAAAGTAGCTTTTACTAAAGTTGAGCAACAACCGCATTTTCCTCCCCTACAACAACTTGCATGATTCATCACTTTTTGACAGTTTGTTCTCAAAAGGTAGGCTATACGTTATTCTGATTCTTTGTCAAGCAAATATGATAATCAAATTGCAGAAAATTTGAAACATACCCCAAAATGCAGAAAATTTAGATTCTGCAACACTTACACGAGCATCGAAGACGAACCGATTTACGCCCTTCCAATTATCCAAATCATAAGCTGTAAAATGCTTACAACAAGCTGAAGCTTGAAGGTGTCCAACAAGCTTCCCTCCCTGGAAAGTATCCCCTTGAAATCCTCTGACATATGACACAGCATATTTCCCTGTAACATGTGGATCCTCCCCTGGTGTTTCTTGCCCTCTCCCCCATCTTGGGTCCCTAAATATGTTAATATTTGGGGCCCAAAATGTCATCCCATTCGCTTCTCCTGCGTTGTATATTGCCCTTGCTTCTCTTCCAATAGCCTTCATTCACATCATCAAAACGATCAGCCTTGATAAAAGGAAGCTGAATTATGAAACAAAAGGAGACTTACTTGGCCAATGCGATACCATTGATAAGCATCGAAAGAAGCGGCGGTGAGGATGACTTGAGGGAAGATAGTGGCAGCTTTAATAGTACCACCAAACTTGATGCCGGGGCCGACATTGGAAACACCATGTAACGCCTCCGACCACCACTCGTAGGCGGGGATACCGAGCCGAGGAATCGCGGGAGCAGTGTTAACGAGTTGAGGGATCTTCTCATCTAATGTCAGCCTGGAAACAAGGTCCCTAGCCCTCTGGGTAATGGGGAGTGTAGTTTGGCAGAAAGGGTAGGTTTTTGTTGATGGGTCTAGTGAATCACATGAAAATGGAGGCTGAGTTGAAGCAACGTAGATGAAAAGTAAAGCAAAACTTGTGAAGGAAACGAAACACAGGTGTTGAAAGTTCATTTTGAGTAAGTGAAGTTGAAGCCCAAACCAAGTGCAGTGAGAACAGAGAACTGGAGAAGGTTGGTTCATGTTCAAACTTTATCAGAATTTAATGTCCTGATTGCCCTTCCATTGCACATCTCTAGATGGGGTTTTTGGGTACTAACGACACATTTGCATTTGTCCTATCTATTTTTCTCTTTAGTGTCGGTCAGCAGGGAGGGTTACCATGGTTGGCAAGGGATCGACATTTATTTTCGTCCTAGTGTAACGGTTGTGTATAGCTTTCGGTAAATGCATATGTTTGCGCTAAAGGTTGAAGTTGGGTAAAATAATGGCATAATGATAAAAAGTACACATTCCATTTTATTGAATAGTCATTTTAATTTCTATTCTTTATTTTTTTTAGAACATTTTAACCCTTCAACGTTTTATTTTAGAATAAAAAAACTCTTTGTGGATAGAATGGTTAGTTAACAAACGGTTAACACTTTAAAATATGATTTTTTTTCTTGAAATGAAACATTGAGGGCCAAAATGATAAAAAAAATGAATAAAGGCTAAAGTGACTACTTAGTCAAATATTGGAGGTATTTTTGTCCTAAAATATAAAATCAGGGGGTCAAAATGCTAAAGAAGAATATGAATGAAAATGACTATTTATTTAAATCTTAAGACTAGTTTTTTGATATTATGCCTAAAATAAAATATTATCTTATATAAGCGGATTTAATTATATTATGCATCTTTAAATTACATTATAACCTAATAATATTTATTTAAATAATTAAGTAACATGATGATAATTAAATGATATGAATAATGTAATTTACCCTAAAAGTTTTCATCTCATAAAGAACAATGCATAATTGGTTAGGGAGTCAGTTGTCAATGGGACAATAGAAAGGAACATTGACATTTAATATAAAGTGATTACAAAAAGTAACCACCTTTATAGACTTTACATAGTTTTCTGGCTAAAAATGATTCTTTTATAAATACTTTTACGTTTCAAACGGAATTTTAGATTAAAAGCACTTCCACAAAATATTCCCAAACGACTCCTAAAATCGCCGACTAAAAATTTGATTCTAATATTAAATAAAAAAAATATTATTTAATTAACTATATAATTAAAATTTTTAAAGTTTAAATTTCAAAAAAAAAAACATATTTTGTAATTTTAATCACTTTTTGATCATATTATTTGATTTGATTTTTTATTCTGTAAAGTTCAGTTTTATCAAATATATCGAATTAGATTGATTATCTATTCTTAATTAAACTTACTCAACCGAATGATTTAATGTTTGGGTTGATAATTTACTCTTCCATTTAAGAACAAAGAAAAAAGATTATTGAGGAGTAGAAAAAGAAGAAAGATATCTTTGATGGCATATGTTATCAAAAGAATTTTGTCGTTAATTGAATGTCATTTCTCCTTTTGTTTTGATAATAAGGAATCCCATATAATATAAGTTTGTTTTATTAGAAATTGAGTATGCATACTGTTCATGTTTCTTAGATCCTCGGTTTAGATTCACTGAGAGCAGTTCTCTTCTTTTCCCTATAGTTTTTCCTTACTCTCCCTTCTAAATAGGGTTATGATTAGACTTAAATTTTTTCAAAAAAAAATCTAATTAGAAATTAAGTTAAATTTTATTGTAATTATGTTAGTCGAAGATTAATTAATGATCGGGTTTATTTAGCTAAGAAATTTTATGGAATAAGGATTCTTAATGATCAAGTATTTGATTCTATACATATAAAGTATATTTTAACATTAGAATTATGAGAGAGAAACTTTTGTAGTTTCTGTAACTTTTGAGATTTATGTATATACGAGTTCTATAGGATATTGAGAGAGTGATTTGATATCCTTTGGATTTTGATATAGATATTGAAGTTTAGGATATATGTGATACAATGTATTCGTACTCTTCGTGATCTCTATGCTTATAGTATAGTATTATTCTTTTCACCTTTGGAGATAGTCGATATTGAACCACTTTAAATATCACATCTAGTATGTGTTTTCTACGTGTTTTAGAAGTGAAAGGAGCCTAAAGGAGTACATTAGGCATGTCCAGGGGGCATACGGTGTCCCCATTGAGCAGAGGAATGAGAGTATCGGGCATTGAGGTATACAATGATAGCTGACCAGAAGTATATTAATCTTGGAGATACAAGCAGCTTCCATGTTCGCTTCACAAATTTCTCGCTGTAAGGAATTAGGTCTTTTCTACGTTGATATTACTTTATTTATTTATTTTTGTTTAAAAATTCCTAACAGATTATTTCATTAATCATAACAGCCCAATTGAATAAAAAAATATTTTACAGATCAGTAAGGACCCAACAAGTCTGACACACTAATAGAGTAACAACCCAATCCTTTTTAATAAAGCCCATAGCAGTTGGAGGCAAATACATTTATGGACGTAGGGGAGTCGGCAATCAGATTTTACATGAAACGTTAAGTTTTCCCTTTTTTTTTCTCTTATTAATATGAAATAATTACAACATATTATATGTTTAGATTTTTTTTATTTTTTAATTATTAATAATGTAAATATCTTACGGATACAACTGTTGATGTTCAGGTCTTATATGCTTTTGATTCGTTTAGGGGAAATATATTTACATTGCTCAGAAGGGATTTTAGAGGTTGTTTACTTGTGGCTAGGGTGTACAAAAATACCCGATCCAGTTAACTCGACCCGCCGACCATAACCTAAAAAAATCGGGTGATTTTCTAAAAAAATTACCCGGCCGGGTCGGTTACCCGACCCAATATTTCCCAGTTTTGGCCCGGCTCACAAAATTGAATTTTTTTCGGTTACCCGATTAGGAATTTTTTATGGTAAACTACTTATTTGGTCACTTATATATTATCTAGTTTATGTTTTGGTCACTCGATTATTATTTAGAGTAAACTACATATTTAGTCACATATATATTATCTAATTTATGTTTTGGCGACTCGATTATTATTTAGGGTAAACTACCTATTTGATCACTTATATATTATCTAATATAATTCATATATATTTTTATTTAGGGTAAGCTACCTATTTGGTAACTTATATATTATCTAATTTATGTTTTGGTCACTTTATTATTATTTTTTTCAAAATTATACCTACCGTTACATTTTGATTTTGTTTTGGTCACTCGTTTTTAAAAATGAACAATGATGCTAAAATGACATTTTTAATTATGTTTGGATGTTGGACTAACATTTTTTAATTATGTTTGGATGTTGAACTATATAATTCAAAGTTTCAAACATTTAAATTTGTGTGTGTTTTTTTAATTAATAATTTGAAGAAAAAAGGGGTACCCGACAACATCCGGGTCAGGACACGGGCCGAGAAATCAATTACTCGAAGATCCGGGTACCTAGCACTTTGGGTATCCAAAAACCCAGGTACCCGGATTTGCACACCCCTACTTGTGGCTAGGGTTGTAAAATCGGGTAATCGTTCATGTTTCAATTGGATCATGTCAAGTCGGGTAAAATCAGATACAGGTCAAGTCAGATAAATTTGATGCTTCGACTCGGATCAGGTCGGGTCCAGGTCATTTTCAGGTTGATTTGACACCAGGTACAGTTCGGGTTCAAGTCGGGTTACTTTCAGTTCGGATCGATGGCAGTTCATGTCAAAACAGTTTAGGTCAGGAGCAGTTAAAAAGCAGGTTAATTCAGGTTCAGATGGACTTCAGGCGGATCTCGTTCAGATCGGGTCACATCATTGGCAAATAAAAGTTAGGTCGGATCTCTATTAGATATGGATTGAGTTCAAATCAGGTTAATTTTATTTTTAGATTAATTATTTTCTTCCTTCGCGAACGTTGAATTACAATTTGTAATTGTATATGATTTAGAGTAAATTACTAAGAATATAAATAATCATGGTTCAATTTTATGGAAAATACAAATTTAAGAATTAAATTGAACAAATATGAAATTACAAATAAAAATGTAAATAAAGTAAACAACACACATTGATGAGGGATCAAATCGATATAATTTTAAATTGTGAGGTTGAAATTAATAAAAAAAAGTACTAAATGATACCCATTTAAAAAGTTATGGGCCAATTAAAAAATAGAAATAAGTAATAAGTTTGGATCAATTTTAATGCAAATAAAATTTGGAGGACTACATTGAACAAATATGAAATTACAAATAAAAATTTAAATAAATTAAAAAACACGCATTGACGAGGGATCAAATCGAAATAATTTTAAATTGTAAAGTTGGAATTAATACAAAAAACACTAAATTATACCCATTTAAAAAGTTATGGGCCAATTAAAAAATAGAAATAAGTATGGGTCAATTTCAGATGCAAATAAAATTTGGAGGACTAAATTGAACAAATATGAAATTACAAATAAAAATTTAAATAAATTAAACAACACACATTGATGTGGGATCAAATCGAAATAATTTTAAAATTTGAGGTTGAAATTAATACAAAAAGTACTAAATTATACTCATTTAAAAAGTTATGGGCCAATTAAAAAATAGAAATAAGTAATAAGTATGGGTCAATTTCAGATGCAAATAAAATTTGGAGGACTAAATTGAACAAATATGAAATTACAAATAAAAATTTAAATAAATTAAACAACACACATTGATGAGGGATCAAATCGAAATAATTTTAAAATTTGAGGTTGAAATTAATACAAAAAGTACTAAATTACTCATTTAAAAAGTTTGGGCCAATTAAAAATAGAAATAAATAATACGTATGGGTCAATTTCAAAAGGAAATAAAATTTGGAGGACTAAATTGAACAAATATGAAATTATAAATAAAAATTTAAATAAATTAAACAACACAAAGGGATCAAATATGAAAAATATTGTAAAATGGACTAAATTGCATTCATTTCAAAAGTTGAGAAGAAATTAAAACAATTAATATATATATATAATATAAACTAGATAGTTTATATATAAAGTATATGTATTATATATATATATATATAAACTATATAATTTATATATATATGTTATGTATAAATTATATATACCATGTATAAACTATAATACTATATAGTTTATAAATGAACTATTGTAGTTTATATATA